GCGGTTTCTCTGCAGGGTGTCGAGAAAACAATCCGGCTTCAACAGCACATCGTCTGAATGTTTGTTCCAATACAGGCAGCTCTAATTGTTTTTGCATCTTGACTGATGATATCCAGGGATCTTTCTTGACGGATTTGACAATCATAAAATCCTCTCTAGAAGTGGTGGAACGCGGTCTTTCACCTTTGTTATCTGCTGCCAACTTCCCCTTAGAATGATACTTGGAACATAGCCTTGATACGGTCCTTTTTCATGCAATATTTATAACAAATAAAAATAAAAATTTTTTTTGTGACATTCCACTTATGTAATCACCAATAATTTTCTTTCTTAGTTCCAATCCAAGACTGTCGGGAGCCATTTTTGTACTTGAAGTCATAAAAATAATAAAAATAAATAATCACGCTTTTCAAGGCTTACCGTGTTACATTTACCTTGTGACGATACAATAATGCTCTGTGGAGCACAATGTCTTGGTTAGATGTGGGCTGTATTGATGTAATGAAACACTTGTTGTATTTCACTTCTTGTATTGATCTTCTTTGATAAAACACTTTGATAAAACTCACACGATAAACTGTCTTGATAATACTGACTGATTGACTTCCATATACTGACTGAATTACATGTTGGTTTACATGTCTCTTATATAGTAAAATGAACCTGTTCTGGAAGAATTCTGGAAGAATAAAATGAACCTGTTCTGGAAGATTCTAGATGCTTCTTTTCAATGTTTCTGGAAGCTTCTGGATGCGTCTGGATGCTTCTGAATGTTTCTGGATACCTCTGGCTGCTTCCAGATGTTTTTTCTGGAAACTTCTGGAAGCTTCTGCATGCTTCTGGAAACTACTGGAAACTTCTGGAAACTTCTGGATACTTCCTTTAATTATTAAAAAACTTCCATAACGTTGACACGGAACGTTGAAAGAAAATGAAATAAACCAAAAAAGTTGCACTTGTTTTGTCGGCTGCAAAACGGCACTTGTCAGCAAAATTCTGCCTGTGTGGTGTCACCTGTCAGCTGATTGCTCATGTCATGGCATGCTATGACTCCAGACTCCTGAACTGTTTGCTGTGGTAGTATAGTTCGTTTTGTTTTTAGGACATCTAAAATTAGGAACACTTTTTAGCATTGTTTGATGTTGGTTGCAAATGTTTTGTCCAATACTGTATAATATTTATATAAATATATATTATATATATATATATATATATATAATATTAATATGTATATATATATATATATATATATATATATATATATATATATATATATATATTATATATATAAATATATATACATATATAAATATATATATTTTATAAAATGTTTTATGACAAAAGGTTTGTCAGCAAATCATAAAATATGTTTTTCATTTTAAAAAGAAGTTAAATTTTATTTAGTAGTATTACACAAAATCTTATTATATTGTCTTTACGCTGAAAAATGCAGGTTGAGAAAAACAATTTTTTATTTGAAGACTGAGGTAATGATACTATTTGACTGGACAATAAAAATTAATACATTTAGTCAAAAGAAAAAATTTTGAACATTTACACACGCAGAACAGCTGTAGTTGATTTGGATTCAATTTTCTTGTTACAATTTTGTTAATGCAATTTCTTAAAAAACTGTTCAATGTTTATTTTTAGATATATAACAGAATTTCTTAGGTACAGAGTTTATCATTTGTCATGTTTCCATCACTTCAACAGATAATATTTTTTTTCGTTACCATCATTTGTTGTTATATTTGATAGTAATACTTGTGATTAGTTTATTAGACTAATCACAAGTATTATTATCAAATACAATGTGATTAGACCATTTTTATTAAGTGGATAATTTTGGTCATTTTTCCACAACTCTAGGCTGTTTCTATAATTAAAGAGAATTTTATTTAAAAAATACCCATTCCATGACAATTTCATTTTTTAATTCTATCTTGACTTGCACTAGGGATAATTAACATCAATGTACAAACCTGCAACAGTAATGGAAAGATTTATTTGTTGTGAAGACATTGCATTCAAAAGTTTGTATTTTGCAATACTTTCAATTTTAAGATTAAAATCTTTTAGAATATAGATAATAATTTTAGAATATTACATTATTTGATTTATAAAGACTTGTGAGGGGTTAACAATATTTACATTGTAGCCCATTTTATAAACAGATTTAGTATTTTATAAACAGATGAAGTCCAGCCCTGTGAATTTTCCAAGAAGTGTTTTTCCTTTAAGTTTTAGACAAATTTTCTATTGTTTTAAGTTATTTTGATGAGATTTTATCAACAATTTGAATGAAACTTTTGATTTTTCTGTAATTTTATCTTGGCTTTTGTTAATAAGCAATGACTCATAATGAGCAGTAATTGGTTCATCTTTAGGAGTAAAGTAAAACTCATTTTCATACGCAGTGTCTGTTTCATTACAGTTTTCTGTTTCATCAATTTACCAACAAATAATTTAAAAAAAAACAGCTTTTGATACTAATTTATGTTATTAGTTGGTTGATAATGTGATTAATGGTAATGTTATTAATGGTATGGCTATGTTATTAATTGGTATTGGTTTATTATATTAATTGGTTCAGCCTGATCTTTAGCCATTCCAGACGATTTTTTTATAATTCTAATATTCAAATATATATATAATTGTCTTATTTTACACACTGAGAGTTTTTACTAATTTATATTATTTTGGGGTCATACTGACTTTAAAATAACTTTTGAACCGTTAATACATTTGATGTGAAATTTTCATAGCGGCCCACCAACTATAAGAAAATAAATTCAAAAATTTTCTTTTAAAAATCTGTCGGGATTGTCCAGAATCCCCTATTTTACAGACTGAGATTTTTTTACTAATTTATATATTTTTTGGGTCATACTGACTTTTATATATTTTTGAGGTCATACCGGTTGCTTCCAGCCTTGTTGGAAATACAGATAGTTAAAATATAAAGTCAATCTTGCATGAATTAATCAATCATGCAAGATCCCTCAAAAAAATTTAGGTTATTTATTTTTAATTTATTAACATTTTAAGAATTTCACTTTTAATTTCATATTTAGAATTCGAATTAGGATGTGAATAATTAATTTAAGGTCCTTAAATTAATTATTCACATCCTTAAATTAATCCTTATATTTCCTTATTAAAGCTTATTAAAAACTTTTGTTCTTTCCATTATTTTTGTTTGTTATGCAAAAAAAAAAAACTTTTTATTCACATCCTTAATAAGGATTATTTCTTATTCTTATTCACTTAAATAGCTAAATAGGACGGCTCATTTTATGAAAATAATATATAACTGCTTTAAATGGTATTAAAATCTTTATTCTTTCCATCATTTTTGTTTGTTGTCAAACATATTTTTTTTCAATGTTGACAATAAACATATATATAAAATAATTTAACTAATATTTAAGTTTCTAATTATGTGAAAAAAAACAAACAAACATCAAATTTCATAAAGCAAACGCAAAAATTTATTTATAACTTAGTAAACAAACGCAAAAATCAAAACAAAAAACGTCATAAAGTACCCGAAAAAAACAACATAATGCATACATAATTTTAAAACAAAATTCCTAAGCATCAAATCTTCAAGAATATATAAATAAATACTTGATTTAGAGAGAGGAAGGGCTATACTTGCCTTTTGGACGCGGAACCTTTTTGAAAAAAGTTTTTTTTTGAACTAAATCGACCTTAAGGTTTTTAAGTGTTAAAAACTAAATATTTTTGTATAAATTTGAAAAAGGTTCCTTTCTATTCGATCCCCCATCCTTTTTTTAATCTATATGGAAATTTTCATGCAAATTGAATGTGTTTTAGTACTTAGGAAATCTTACCTTCAAAAGCTTCTTTTTAAAAAATGTGTCCAGGGCAACTTTTTTAAGCAAAATTGGTCTCAAGATATTGATAATATTAAGATGAAACCAAAAGAAGCATATTACTTTCTATATATGACTGGAAAGAGGTTAAGTAACACTAACTGATTCAAAAAACCCCAAGGTGATTGCTTAACCTTACAAAAAGATATATGAGAGTAAAGTTTATGAAAATTCAATGTTTTTGGTCAAACGTCAAATATTTTTTGTAGCGCCATAGAATTGCTACAATAGAAGTAAAGTAAAACTCATTTTCATATGCAGTGTCTGTTTCATTACAGTTCTTTGTTTCATCAATTTACCAACTAATAATTTTAAAAACAACAGCTTTTGATGCTAATTTATGTAAATTTTGATACGAATTCTCAGTTTTTTTATAGCTTCGCTGGATTGGTAGAAGTATAGATTAATAGAAGTATAATCTGTTAATTTTAAATTTATTTTACTTTTAAAAATTGGCAAAGTATTTTTGATACTGGTTAACAAATTTTGACATATTTTAACGCGCTGGTTCCACTTTATATATATATATATATATATATATATATATATATATATATATATATATATATATATATGTATATATATATATATATATATATATATTTTTTTTTAATTCACCTCCTCAAGGCCGAGAAGGCCACTACAGACGAGGAGGCTACTTATTTGTGGTTATATAACCCTCTCTCAACTCTATAACTCTGAAACACGAACCTTGACAAACAAGGCCTCTGCGCGGAGAAACGAGTTGTTTCTACCAGAGACGTGGCGGGGATTGAACTCCGAACCTCTCACTTATGAAGCGAGCGCTCTACCACTACAACACTACTGCATATATATATATATATATATATATGTATATATACATAACTTGAAATATGTTTATAACCAATATAAATAAAGTAAAAATTTTGCTAATCAAATAAAAAATTTATGAACTATCTTTTTATTTTTATTTTTCAAGTAAAATTTTACAAAAAATTGCACTATATGTGTTCAATTTTAATCCATATTTTTTAACATAATGTTAACTTGATATATGTTGATGTATGATGATATATACTTTTGATTTGATTTTAAAATATTTATGATTATGTAAAGGGTGAAGATGGAGTTAAAACAGTCTTGCAAATATTAAAAGATGAATTGGAAAGAGCAATGATATTGGCAGGTATGTTTTAATGTAGCTATAAATCAACATCATCATCATCATCATCATCATCATTATCATCATCATCATCATCATCATCATCATCATCATCATCATCATCATCATCATCATCATCATCATCATCAGTATATGGTTCTCTGTTCGTTATTGCAACAAGGTCATCGGCTCACTGGATTTTGGATTATTGCTGTGCCGCTAAGTATTTAAAAATTTTTTTTTCTGTATTACCAATAAGAAAGATCTAAACTTTTTAGATATGTTATTTTTGAAAAAAATTTTGAGCAAAAACTTTAAATATAAGAGCTGTTCTAAAAAATGCGTTGCATTACCTAATGCATCAAAAAAGAGGGTTTATGCATGGGGATCATAAAAATGACATTCAGGTATGTTTTTTTTATTCATTTTCTTCAAATCAAGATATAAACTAAATAAATCCACATTTCTAAATTTTGACATTTTTCATATCATCGTGGCGTTTTTAAGTTTCTGAGTTAAACTTTATATAATATATTAGTTAACAAATCTCGTACTTAGGTTTTCAAAAAAAAAACATTTAACAAAATTTTTTTATATACGTTTTTAAGAAAATTTTTTCTGCTGGACATAATATTTACTAAATCGAATGTCTAAAATGTATAAACTTTGCTTTTGAAACAAAAAAGATTTTTTGGAAATTTGGTTTTAACTGTAAGGTGTTGCATTACCGAAACTACTCAGGTTGCATTACCGAACTTTCTGGTTTTCGCTTATAAATGAATCTGAAAGGTCTATTTTGCAATCATTTTTAAGTTACTATTTGAAGATTAAACTTATTTACTCTTTTTTATTCAAAAAATAAAATTGATGCAAATAATAATTGTAAAATCAAACGGAAATTATTTAAAGTCTCAGAAGCATGTTATAGGACTTTCAGGGTAAAGAAACGGACAATCAGTTAAAACAGGGGAAATTTTTTATTACAGAATATAAAACTATATATTGAACGTTTATGTAAATAAATTTTAAATAAATAAAGCTTTTAATACAACGTTTATAGTTAACAAATGCACTCATTTTGAATACACAAATAACACTATTTTTGATTATTTTAAAATAAAAACTTTACAATCTTCTGACATCTTTCTTTAAATCAAAGTAATAAATTTTTCAAGTATTTTTAAACTAATTTTGACTTTATGAAAAAAATACACACAGCAAATTGTTGTTTTAAACAATCTTCCCAGCAAATATTTTACAGCGGAATTTTAGTAGACTTTGGTTTCATAGTGGCTCATTGGTTACATAGTGGACCACAATTGGCAGTTGTTATAATGGCTAGCCAACAATTAGCTTTTATATTACATGTTGAAGAGTTATTGGCTAGCCACTTTTAGCGAATCCCTTAAGAAACCTATGAGCAAAACTCTAATTAACTGCTCAAAATGCTTATATAGGTCCATTGCAAATCCACATTAAAATAATTGCTGGGTTAATAAAATTGGGTATCATTTTCACAGATTTTTATAAAAACACAGTTATTCATAGTTTGTTCATATATAAAAGTTCAAAAGTGTTTCATTAATTAAGTTCATAGCCTTAACCAGAGAGACTGATATTATCCTATTTAGTAAAGTAGTGGGTTTTGATCACTGTTTTATTATTTTTTATAAAAAAAATTGTATATACCAATTAAAAAAAAAATCATGATTAATATCATTAAGTACATATCTTATTTAAGTTAATTGATCATAAGTTTGAGAATCATAGTTTTTTGCATAGATGCTTTAAATGCAAGGGAAAATTACAATTTTAATGTGGTCTTATTGACGACACCCTCTAACACAAATTTTTGAAAACTTTACTTTGCAGCAATTTTATTGATTACAACTAAATTTTTAAAAAACCTGATAACATTTTTTTATTGCAAAATTTATATAAATTAACTAGAAGAGAATGGACACTAGATTTCGTAAGGTACAAACTTATAAAGAAATAAACACACCATTACATCAAAAAAGAAAGTTAACTTAATCTTTGATCAATTCTATGCAGAACTTCTTTAGCCTAGCAAAAAGAAACAATCTTAACAATTTGTATGCTATAAAAAAAGTTGTTTAGACGGTTTAGTTTCGTTGTACAGATTTTGATGACAAGGAATGTCATCGCTGTATTTGTTCAAGAGAAACTTATGTAGAGCAAGTAAATATTTTTGCTACATACGCTTCAGTCTTCAAAATTTTGAAACCAACTTTTACTGATTTATCTTCAGACGGTTTACTAAAACACCAACGAGACACTGAACCAGATTATTTGGAGATGCTGCCCTCTTTGAGTCTGCAGTTAATTCGTCTGAGATTGAATTTTATGAAGGTCCTAATGGAATCTTATTTGTACGTAATAAATTTTAACTAACAGGATATGTAACGTCTTTGAAACTTAATGATAAGAATAAAGAAGCTATAAAGCGATCTTTTCAATGTCCACTAAACGTGTTAAAAAGAGAGAAAAATAGCTAAAAACAATTAAAAAGGCTTAGTTAGACAAAGATGATAAAGAAAGACTTAGTTTGACAAAGGTAATAAAGAAATTGATAAAGAAAAAACTCAAAAAATATATTCCTGGAGGGTTTTAATATGTTTATATGAACTTTTTATTATGGTTTTTTTCTTTTGTTTTATATATTTGTCGTTTCCTCAAAACTCAGTTTTGCCTCAAATACAAATCTTTAAAATATGATTAACTTTAAACTCGTTAAAGCTTAGAGCATAATAGATTTACGTAAAAAAAAACCCTACAAAATTACACCCATAAAATATCACACATCGTCATTTATCCTAAAACAATTTTATCTTTTAAACATGAAAAACAAAAACTTACAAGTGTATAAATACTTGAACAATATTTAAAAAAACAAAAACTTGTATTTTAAAACACAAGCTATATATATACAGATTTGTTTCCTCTCAATTTTAAATTTTAGACCCATTTCGTCATACTCTTGTTTTTTTTCAAAACTATTTGTTGTATAACTGACAGATTTTTAACCGTACCATACCTAATGATACAAAGCATATTACGAGAATTTTTTGTATGCTTCCAAGTAAATTTAATTTTTAGGTCTCTAAAATAGGTCTAGGAATTTTAAAGGTCTTTAAAATTCCTAGACCTATTAATAGAGCAATTTTTTTAAATGTAAATCATTTTTTATGTCTAAGGCCAATTTCTTAAAAAAATTTTGTTTTATTAGGATGTTCTCAGAAGTCCTAACCGTCTTATCATCAGAAGTCTTTAGCATCGTTAAGGATTTCTGATGATAAGACAGTTGTTAGTTGAAAAGTTTTTAAGATCAAAATTAAACAAAACTAAAAAAGAAAGAAAAACTCTAGATCTAAAGATAAATCAATTAAGTGATAATGATTGCTAATTAATTCCGCTCTACTCTATGTATATATATATATATATATATATATATATATATATATATATATATATATATATATATATATATATATATATATATATATATATATATCCTTTAAAAAAACATAATTTTAAATGGAACTAACATTCAACTTAAAGCTGACAATTTTACAATTGTAGATTGCATGAGAAATTTCAATTTAATATTTTGATAAGTTTTAATAGTTCGTTACACTTAATTGAACTTTTTATATTGTAAAAAAAATTCAATTGAAAAAATCAACCAACTTTGTTTTAAATCAGTAATCTAACTAATATATAATAAACTTTTTTAAACTAAAATATACTACAATAAGTAAATATACTACAATAAGTAAATGCATGCAAATGCACTTTGATAAACTTTTTCAATAGTAACATATTTACAATATTTATAAACTCAAAACACATTTTTTTTGATTAAATCTTCAGGGTTTTGTCACAACCGTTTAGGTCTAATATTGGAATCTAGAGTCTGTTGTTGTAAGTTGATGAAGCTTTTTAAATCTTTCATATATGACTTTATTGCTGGAACAAGGCACTAAATGTGAAGATATATTTAATATAATACATACATAAGTTTAGTAAAATGCATAAACTTGTATAAATATATATATATATATATATACACCAGGGATGCAGAGTCCTAAAAGGGCTCCTATGAAACAAAAGTCCTTCAAAAGGACTCTTGCTTTTAAGCGTGAAGTCCTGGAGTCTATGCCGCCTTTATACCTTGGACTTCGGGTTCAAAAATTATTGTTCTACTGATGTATAAGTCTTGATTTTTTTCCCCATTAGTAGTCCTTAGGCCTTTTTATATCTTTAAAGCTACTGGATACCAAAAACTAGAAAGAAGTAATCTTTTTGTGACCTTTAACTCCGGAGTCCCTTTTAGGGATTCCGCATCCACGATATATAGATATAAAATATGAAAAATTTATACATATAAATTATGAATTTATACGTAAAAATTATGAATATTGTTTATATACAAATTATGAATATTATATACATAAAAATATAAATGCAATAAGAGCAACATTAACTATAAAACCTAATGATATCTTTGTACAAATATACAGGACCAAATTAATATACTTTTTAAAACAACGCAAATTAGTTTGTGTTGTAATTATTGAAGATGATTGATTTTTAAACTTTAAATGTTGTTTTGATAACAAATCTTCAATGTCTGAATCAAAGCATTAAAAAATTACATGCCATTTTTAGAAAATTTTAAATAAGTACTTTTAAATTTTTCTGAGAAATGACACATTTTAATTGTATTCAAATGCACATTTTTACACATAATGTAATATTGAGTTAGATATTATTGAAAGGTATGCTGTTGTAAGGCTTCAGATGTTGACATCAATAGAGTGAGGTATTTTAAAAGTATGATCCAGAAGCTTAAAAACATCTTTTTCCCCTAAAAATAAAATAAATTTATAAGTAACTTTAAAAATTTGAACTTTATAACAATCGCAGAACATTTGAAAGTACTTTAAAGAGCACAATTTAGTTTTTTATTTTCCCCAGGATAAAAAAACTCAATTATCTCTTTATTTCAAATCTTTTTTTAAAATTTTGCATAGTACATTTTGTTTGATTAAGCGATAACAAATTTTTCACTAGAATAAAATTATAGTTGCTGTAAGTATCATAATTTTAACTAAATTTTAGGACAAGTCTAAAAACTAATTAATAATTTAAAAGCTAGGTAAAATAATCGGGTTTTCCATGAATTTCTAAAATTAAAGAATAGAAAAGCAAAAATTAAAGTATTAGTGAATTTCTTTGATTTAAAAGTGTAATTGAATAGGGATTGTTCATAAATTATGCAACGCTAAATTTCACTAATAAACAAAACATAAGAGATCAAAAGTTTTTTTCAAAAAGTTTTGTCATGTAAAAGAATTAAATATTATCTACTTCTTTTTTTAAAATAAACTTTACATTGCAAAATATATAGACAATCCCTAATTGAATGTTTAAACACTTGTGAAAACAACTTTGAAAAAGATATGAAATATATTACAAGAATATTTATCTTCTTCATCAGATTTTGAAAGTTACTCTTGAAATTATATTATAAAGAAAAAAAAAAGCTGCACATTTGTTTGAAATTAGTTCAGCGGTCAGGAAGATATTTGAGAAACTTTAATAATTTTTTAAGTAACTTTAATAGATAGTTTTGATTAAACTTGCCAAATAAAATAGTCACATTTAAACTAAACTATTGTAAATATGGTAAAACTATTAAATTCTTTTAATTGTAAAATAAGCATCATTACCTTTTAATGAAACAAAAGATAATAATGTTGGAGTATGATTAAAAGTTTTCGCCAGATATATTACTTAAATACACATAATAATACAAGAGAATACACATAAAAAATACACATAATAATACAAGAGAAAAATTTAATTTTTTCAAACTAAATCTTTATATTTAAGAAGAAGACAACATAGCTGTTGTAAATATAAATTAAAATCTTTGAAATTATATTATTACTGTTTAAAAATAAACCATCTATAATTTTAACACTATATTCGTAAATAAAAAAAAGAAAATAACTAAATTCTTATTTTAAAATTACTTGCAAATAACAAGTTCCGCATCTAAACTTTGTCAATTTTCTTTAAAATAGCCATCTCTTTCTCAAAGTTTTTTAAAACTTTGTCAAAGTTCTTTAAAATAGCCATCTCTAGATTAAATTTTGTCTTGAGTAAAAAGGACAAAATCTAATCTAAAAATAATCTTTATGAATAAAATCTTTTAATATTGTAAACAAATACTAAACAATCATATACTTGAGAAATAAAAGTTATGACTTTTATGCCAACTTAAAAGTGACTTAAACTACTCTATTATTTACAATATTATTATAAGCACATAGTATATTATTAGTAACTTTATTATAAGCATATAAAATATTATTAATAATATTATCATAAGCATATAGTATATTATTAATACCATTATTATAAGCTGGTTAAATTTGTAATGTTTTAGGTGAAATTTTAAGTAGAAGTTTAATTACACAACTTCTAGCTATCTAGTATCAGAGTGGTTTAAATAAACTTTTACTCAATTGTTGAGTAGAAATTGATATGAATCATTTTGATTCAAGCCAGCTTATACCTTGTAGGTATATCACAAATTGATTTGCAAAGTTGGATAAACTTCAAAATTGATTGTACTCAAAAATATCTATACACTTTTTAATTAATTGCTTTTTTCGTGTAAATTTTGTAAATAAAAATTAAATAAAAGAATTTTAAAACTTAAAACACATGTGTAATTATATAGGCTACTGATATATATTAGATTTCCATAAATTTACCTCTCAAAAATACAATTTTGTTTTAATATCAATATTTTACTTCACTTACCAAACAAGTTTTTGTCTGCCCAATTAACTTTGAACGAAAATTATTTTGAGCCGGCTGACAACGTAACAAGTTAATAAAAAAAGAAAGTTATTCAAGTTACAAAACCGAACACGGAGTTGCAATAGCGAACAAAAAAGTTGCAATAACGAACAAGAGATGCTTTACCGAACAAGCGCGTTGCGATACAGAACATTTTAGTTGCATTACCGCACATCCATATGACGATGATGATGATGATGATGATGATGATCATCATCATCATCATTCTTATCTTTTTTTTTACTGTACTAATTTTCCTCATGATAAAGGGACCACTACAGTTAAGGAGGACACTTATTATTATTATTGTTATTTAAGTTTCAGCTGTAAATCCAACTAGTTCAATTAAAAAATCAAAACAAAATCAATAAAAATAAGAAAGTATTTTTAGCAATCATATTAAAGTCATGCATGTGTAAAAAAAGACAATAAATGGAAATCAATAGTGTCAAAATACTAGACATAACAACTTTCAAGTAAATGGTTCTAAAAGTATTTTAAGAATAAAAAAACTTAAATACTAAAAATACTATTTTTGAAATTCTAAACTAAAAAAAAACCTTATCTATGTAATCTTATTGACATTCATTTTTTAATTCAAATTTTTTATTCATCAGACTATATTTTTGTAAAGAAATCCAATTTAAAAAATAAAAAATTGGTAAAACATATAAAAATCTATTATGTAAATGTTTATTTATTGCTGAGAAACCAATGATGATTTATTGCTAATTATAAAATATATTAAAGTTATAATAAGCATGCAATAGGAAAAAATTTAATTTAGTTCCTTAATACCTAAAAAAAAAAATCCCAAAAAAGAACCAAATTATTTTTACTAATTTTATTTTTTGATTCTAATTGCTTTTGTATGTATGTATGCATTAAATAGATAAAAAATATTTTGCTTTTGTATGCACTTACATAGATAAAAAATATTTTGTATAAAATTTTTATAAAAGATCTGACTAGAGCTTAAAGCAAAAATTATCTTGAAAATAAAAACAATCCTGTTGTTATAGTTGCAAATAAAACAGAAAACACTTGCGGAGCAAAATTTTTTTTATAACTTACAAAGATTAGATCAGTATGAAGAAAGTAAATAATAAAAAAGTTTTTTTCACAACCCCAACTGATTTACCTGCTTTAAAAACAATTCAATTCTTTGCAATAATATATCTAATTGCCAACTAGCAAAGGCTTCATTCTGCGAGAAGTTCTGAGTTTGATTCCCACTCTCATAATTTCATGAATAAAAAACAACAATAAGTTATTTTATTGCTTTTATAGATTTTAATAATGCTTAGTCAATTGATTATTTTAAAATTTATTTCAAAACGTTCTTACTAAAAGTGCTCTCAGGTAATAGGTATTACTAAAAGTTCTTCAGGTTTAATCATAATTAAGCTGCAAAAAAAATAGTTATGCAAACATTATTAATAAAATTTTTATAGCAAACCCAAGGTGGACATCTCGAGGTGGACATACCCAAGTTACTTTGCCTACTTTAAACACTTTAATTAAATCTATTTTAAATTTTATTTATATTTAATAAATTTTATTTACTTTTGCTTTTATTTCTTTTAGGGTGTTCAAGTTTAGAAGACATCAAACCATGTATGGTTGTTCATGAAAGCTATTACTGGAGTAATTCAAAGTTATAACTTCCCTGTCATCTATAAAGTTTTAAATTAATTAAAGTATTTAGTGATTTAAAATTTTTTTTTTATTGAATTTCACTATGCAGTTAGGTTTTTATATTGATTATATTTTTAATTAAATTTACTTTTTTTTGAAAGTAGTATGTAATTTTGATATTTGAATAAAGTTGATATGTACGCAAAACTAGTTGTAATTTTATGTAATATTTTCTCTTTGTTTTATGTTATTTTTTATTACAAAAATTTTTAATATGAATAAATAGAAAAGAAATTTCATTCTATTGTAAGAATTTTACTAAAAGTAATCAGTTTTGAATTTTACTTGAATTTTTGAATTTAAGGATTCTCCTAAATTTAAATGAGTTTAACCTCAGGGTACTAGGCATATAGGCCAGAGTGCCCATATTTGACTGGGAGGTTGTGTTTAATAAGATAAAAAGATAAAAATATAACTAATGATAAATTTTGAAATTTTTTAAATTTTCAAAAAGTTATTTCAAGTTAAATAAATTTGTGAACCTGATCTTTAAAATTAAGCCCAAGATGTACGGAAATAAAATAATAAAATGTTATTTTTGAGATTTATTTCAAGTTAAACAAATTTGTGAACCAGAACTTTAAAATAAAGCTTTAATTTCTATAAGTTATAATTTGTAGTTTGCAAAAAATATATACACTTTTTATAAGTTCAAAACAGGTGGCTTTTTTTTAACCACACTTTTAAGATTAAATGTTTTGATTTGTTCAAGAAAAAAGCTTTTTAAAATTTCAATTTTCTTAAACCCATTGTTAATAGATTTACCACTGTAGTATTATTCATTATTATAATAACATTTATTATGCTCTATAATAAAATTCATAACTTATTATGTGTGAGGTTGAGGTATTGTCAAAACATTAAATATTTTAAACAGATGTTTAAAATGCTCTAATTTTAATTGATGTACAATATATTGACGTATCCATCTTACATATGTTGAAGTATCCCTCTTTCATAACTTGATGTTGATATATCCCTCTTGCATATGTTGATGTATCCCTCTTTTAGTATGACATCAGCGATTTGTGTTAATGTATCCCTCTTTTAGTATGACATTAGCGATTTGTGTCATAAGAAGAATAATCTTTTTTTTCCAGCATAAAATACTAAAAGACATGAACAAAGACATAAACAAAAGAACTTCACAAGATCTTTTGAATGTTACTCCTGATCATATAGAAAATAAATTTATTATTTTGAAAGAAAAACCACAAGAAACTTTTAAAACGTTTAGAATGCAAACTTCTTCGTTGATGGAAAAAGTTCAAAAGTTTTTACCTGTTATAAATAGAGATAATGAATTTCTTGCTACATTATCAGCTGAAGAAAAGGCTGAATTAAACATAGAAAATACTATTAATGATACCAAAGTAATTGAAATAAGTTTGAGCATTGTAGATGATAAACTAATTTTATCTGATGACGAATATAATGAAGATTCCAGTGATGATAATGACGAATATAATGAAGATTCCAGTCATGATGATAAATGTGGTGACAACAATAAAAGCAATGTTAATAAAAATGATGATCAAAATTCTTTCTTTAACAAAAATAATAAACATTTAAAAAAAATAGAAATTTTAAATGATGAAAATGAAGGTGAATAAAAAAAAAGAAATTATAAATGATGAAAATTGAGATAAATTTGCTTTGAACAATGACTATGAGCCTATCAAATCACTCAAAAATTAAAAATTTTGTTACATTATAAAATATTACAGAATTAAACTTGTATTATGTAAAAATTTTGTTTTGTTTTTTGTTGTTTTATAGTTTAACTTGAGTTAAAGGTTACCAATTTTTCAAAAAGGTATTAAAATTTTGTCTATTACTTTTTAATTGAGAATGTCTAACAATAAGAATGTTTGGGTGGATGTTACAATTTCAAATCAATGGGATATTTTTTGGTCATTGTTTCACAATCATAAAAGTCCAACATACATGTTTGCTGAAAAGTATGATCGCAGTCTGATCAAAGAAAAAATTCTGTCAACACATCGTATTAAAGATGTTATTGAAAAGGTATTTATTAAAGAATATTATTGTGTTTTTTAATTGCCTTAAATTTTTGTTTAAATTTGGTCATGAGTTTCAATTTTTCTTAAGTAACATTTATGTTAAATAATTTAGTATTTTTTATATTTTATATTTTTATAATTTAATTTTTCAATTTTTATTTACTATTTTAATAGATAAGTTTTATTATCAATAGTTGTACATAAATAACTTTATACATTGAAATGTTTCATAAATTGCAATATTGCATACATTGAAATGTTGCATAATTTTTTTGTTTTACCATAGTATTTTAAGTATATTAACTTTTACACAATGATCACAGAGTATAAAGAATTAAGGAAAAGTTTTAAATGAAAACTAATAGCCACTTTGAATAACAAATTATTTAGGAAGCGAGTTTTACTTTTTTCGAGTCAACAAATTATTTAAGAAATAAGTTTGACTATTTTTGAGTCAACAAAATATTATCTAAGAAACAAGTTTGACTGTTTTTGAGTCAATAAAAAATTATTTAGGAAACAAGTGTGACTATTTTTGACTATTACAAAAAATTATCTAGGAAACAGGTTTGACTGTATTTGTGTAAAAGTTTAAGTTTGATGTTTTTTTCACAATCTCAAATATTATTTTCCATTAAGCGGAAAACCACACTCTAAGAAAAAATCGGTTATATACAACGAATTGTATCTGTCGCTATTGCACTAATGGGAAATCCGTTAAGTTAACGAATTAAAATTTTAACGAATTGAACTCGGTTAGGAATAGTCCGTTGAATTTACGGATTTATTTTGTTAGTGCAACGAATAATCCGTTAAAATTAAGGAGTTATTGCACTAGGCAGCAAATTTTTCGCGGTTGTTATTCCTATGAAATAAATGTGTTTATAAGTTATTTTAGTGATTATTTCATTAAAATCACTAAATCTAAAATTAGAGAGGCCAGAATTGTGACTTCATAACCAAATAATTCTTATATTTGTTAATGTTTGCATTTTTATTTAATTGCATTATTTTATTTCGATATTCTACATTAAAAGGTTTTAACCAAAAATTGAAAACTAATCAAATATTTATAATATTTAATCCAATATACTTTAATATACAATAATACTTTAATATACTTTAATATACTTTTATCCAATATACTTTAAATTACAATAGAAATAGTTAAAAAAAATATTTTAATACACTATACTCAAGCTAGTACATTTATATAAAACACACACATATATATAATAGATGTTTAAAATAAACCAATGCCAAGATATTAGTTTTTGGTCGCTAGTTTTGGTTTGGTTGGTTTAAATAGGTTTTGGTTTTGAATACTGTTGTTACTCGTACACAGGTTTGCACTTTAAATCGGACACCATGCTGTCAACTTCTTAAAGAATAATATAAAATAAAATAAGGAAAATATGGAGACTTAATAACATACCTAGTATAAAACCAAAATAAAATGTTACTGATAACACTATAGAAAATGTTTTTGGTAATTCATTATATATAAATTTCTATTCTAAATTTTGTTATTTTAATCATCTCTGATATCGTTTTCTAAAGATAAAGTTAAATGGAACAAGTAAATTATATCTTTATTAAAATGTAAATTAAAAAAAAAGTATAAGATTACCTCGACATTATCTAATAACTGAAAGACTATACATTTCACATACATCAATACCTATCAGGAGCAAAAAAAAAGGTCTCTAACCTTTTAAAAACTATGATAAATCAAAACAAGATTAAATATGCAGACCAAAAAAAATGCAAGCAACTATATAAAAAAATTAATTTTACAACTTATTTAAACTTACAGTGTCATACCACTTGTCACATGTTTAAAATAGCTATTTCTAAAATAATAGTGAATATAGAATATATTAGAATAATAGCCGTGCCTCTAAAGCAGCAAATTCTAAGATAGTATAAATAACTCATATATAACCTTTGTTGTAACTCAATTAAATAAACATGAATGTTAAAAGAAATAGAAGTTCCAATATAAATTTTTTAATTTTAACTAGTTTTAACTTACAGTGGGATAGCAAAGGCCATGTGTCTAAAACAAAAAATTCTAAAATAATATAAACACACCAGTATAAACTAAGTTTATGATATTGGATGCCACATGTTTCATTTGGAAACTAATAAAAATTGCAATTTATAAAAGCATATTAACTAGCCATGTAAACTTAGCTGTAACTAACCTAAATAAATATACCTATCAAAGATGTTAACATTTTTAATCTTACAACTGATTTAAACTAATATGGTATGTTACTACATGTCATATGTCTAAAATATAAAGTTAAAAAAGACTATAAATAATCCATGTAGTCTATATTATAGAAATAATTGTTCAACTAACCCTTTACTACTAGTAAAGGATTAGTTGAACCTTTATTTCTATAATATAGACTATATGGATTGCAGTTATTCTTGCATAATTTTCTAGATTTAGACATGTAGTAACTTACCATATATGATATGTATTAACTTACCATATATGGTAAGTTAATACATATTATTTAGTTATTATATATTATTTAGTAATACTAATGGCTTTTAATTTAAAACAAAATAAACCTTATTGTTAAATTTTCTATATAAAGCTTTCTATATAGAAAATTCAAAATAGTCTAAATAACCTTCGAAATTACAAATAACAGAGCGTAATTTAAATTATATTTATCCATTTGCTTTGTCTACTAAATGTAAAGCTTTTTAAAAAATGGCATATTACACTTACTGCAACCAACTTTTATCTACGATGTAAATGTAAATGTGAGAAAAACGCATTCAAAACTTTATCATTTTCAAAATAAAAAGCTATAATATACTAAAAATTTTTTTTTGACCGATTAGAATATTTAATCCGTTGAATTAACGAAATTTCAAAGAATCTGTAAATAGTTAATTTTACTCCGTTAATTTTCTTATTTTTGGTAACGAATTAATCCGTAATTTAACGAAAAAGTGTAATCTGTTATTTTTTTTAACGGGCTGTTTTTAGAGTGCACTAAGTTAGAGTTAGAGATAACAAAACCTAATGTTATAGATAACATAATGTTGTAGATAACATTATACTGTTATAGATAACATTATACTGTTATAGATAACATTATACTGTTATAGATAACATTATAACGTTATAGATAACATTATAATGTAGTAGATAACGTTATAATGTCATAGATAAAATTATGTTATAGATAATATTATGTTATAGATAATATTATAATGTTATAGATAACATTATAATGTTATAGATATCATTATAACGTTATAGATGACATTATATTGTTATAGATAGCATTATGTTATAGATATCATAATGTTATAGATAATATTATAATGTTATAGATAAAATTATAATGTTAAAGATAACATTATAATGTTATAGATAACATTATAATGTTATAGATAACATAATGTTATAGATAACATTATAATGTTATAGATAACATTATAATGTTATAGATAACATTATAATGTTATAGATAACATTATAATGTTATAGATAACATTATAATGTTATAGATAACATTATAATGTTATAGATAATATTATGTTATAGATAACATTATAATGTTATAGATAATATTATGTTAAAGATAACATTATAATGTTATAGATAACATTATAATGTTATAGATAACATTATAATGTTATAGATAACATTATAATGTTATAGATAACATTATAATGTTATAGATAACATTATAATGTTATAGATAACATTATAATGTTGTAGATAACATTATAATGTTATAGATAGCATTATAATGTTATAGATAACATGCTATAGATAACATTATAATGTTTCGAAGAAAAGCAAGTGGTTATTAGTATCGATTGAAAAAGCAAAAATTCTTTACAAATAACTATTTCTTGTTCTTATGATTAACAATATGATCAATGGTTCTTCAAAAGCACTATACACTTAAACATTTTTTAGTTTTTTATTGTACTACCAATTATCTAGTATACATCTAGAAGTTTTCCAATGAATTGATACATATCTAGTATATAGTAGAAATTTAACCAGTGATAATGTTACACTGGATCAATTTGAGAGTTACCAGTAGTAAGAGATTACCGGTTCTAGGCCATTTTCATTTTCAACCATATTTTCAACCATATATTTTAAAAAATATAGGGTTTATTTCTAACCATGATGTGAATAATTATTTATATAAGAAATAATTTTTCAAATTTATATAAATTTGAAAAAATTGAATTTTTTTTAAATAAGTATTAATTTTTTATTTCTTGTTATGAAATATTACGAAAAATTCTTGCATGACGTCACAGGTCACGTGATTTTCTTGATGTGACGTCACATGACTTTTTCTAATTTATATCCAATAGATTGTAAATATTTTACTACTTCAAGGTGATCATTTTCTATAGCAATATAAATTGTCCATTCATCACCTTTATATCCTAATTCATGTAAATATTTTACTACTTCAAGGTGACCATTTCTAGCAGCAGAATTAATTGTCCATTTGTCACATTTATACCCTAATTCATATAAATATTTTAATATTTCAAGGTAACCATTTCTCACAACACATTCAATTGTCCATTCATCACATTTATACCCTAATTCATGTAAATATTTTAATATTTCAAGGTGACCATTTCTCACAACACATTCAATTGTCCATTTATCACATTTATACCCTAATTCATGTAAATATTTTACTACTTCAAAGTGTCCATTTTCTGCAGTAGAATTAATTGTGCATTTACCACATTTATACCCTAATTCATATAAATATTTTACTACTTCAAGGTAACCATTTTCTGCAGCGCAATTAATTGCATCTGTTGAACATTTATATCCTAATTCATGTAAATATTTTACTACTTCAAGGTGACCATTTCTAGCAGCTTTATCTATTGCATCTTCTGTACCTTTATATCCTAATTCATGTAAATATTTTAATATTTCAAGGTGATCATTTTTAGCAACACAATCAATTGTCCAATCGTAAC